GAGCACCGGGGGATGCGGCACCGCCCGCGCCGCGCCCCGGGCTCCCCCCGGCAGCACCGGGCGGGTCCCGTCCGCCGCCGCGCCCCGGTACCGGGAGTGGAGCGCGGGCGCCGCCCGCTGGTGGCGGGCTGGGCCCCCCCACACCGAGCGGATCCCCCCGTGGGACCCCAACCCGGGCTCGTTGCACCCTTTTTTTTTTGGCTCGGCAGCTCTCGGTGCGCTCCTTTCCCCCCCGCTCTGTGCCCGCTGCTCCCCGTTTCCACCGGCTGCGAGCCCCCCACCCCGTTCTCCCCGTCTCCTCTCCCCGCCGTGGATCCCCGGGCGCTCGGTGCCCCCCGTTTTGCCGGTGGGGCGCGGGGATTTTGGGGGGATTTTGGGGGGATTTTGGGGGGGGATTTGGGGAGGGGGTGCCGGCGGTGCCTAACGCGCTGCCCCCGCAGGAGAACGGCCATGTCATCTCCAACGGGGACATGACGCCCAAGCTGGGGGTCGAGGTGGCCCCGCAGAACGGGAACGGCTCGGCGGAGCCCCCCAAGGAGGAGAACGAGGGCGGAGCGGGCGGGGCGGACACCATCGAGCCCACCGAGGGCGCCGAGCCCCAGCCCGAAGGAGCCCCGGCCCCTAAGGACGCCGCCAAGAAGAAGAAGAAGTTCTCCTTCAAGAAACCCTTCAAGCTGAGCGGCATCTCCTTCCGCAAGAGCAAGAAGGACGGCGGCGACTCCTCCGGCTCCTCGCCCGCGGACGAGCAGCCCCCGGCGGAGCCGCCGCAGCCCTCGGCTCCCCCCGAGGAGGAGCAGCGGGGCGAGCCCGGCGGCGGCGGAGGAGCCGCGGGCAGCCGCGAGGAAGAGGAGGAGAACCACGGAGGGGAGAACCACGGAGGGGAGAAACACGGAGGGGAGAAACACGGAGGGGAGAACCACGGAGGGGAGAAACACGGAGGGGAGAGCCACGGAGACTCCGCCGAGCCCGCGGAGCCCTCGCAAGGCGCGGAGCCCGCAGCGAGCCCGGCGGCGGCGGGGCAGGAGGAGGAGTAGAGACCGCTCGGGCATCGCCCGCACCGGGGACTCTCACACCGGCCCCCGAGCCCCCGGAGCCGGTCCGAGCCCCCGGAGCCGGTCCGAGCCCCCGGAGCCGGTCCGAGCCCCCGGAGCCGGTTCGAGCCCCCGGAGCCGGTCCGAGCCCCCGGAGCCCCCGGAGCCGGTCCGAGCCCCCGGAGCCGGTCCGAGCCCCCGGAGCCGCCCCGGGACCGACACACGCCCCGCACATCCCCCGCCGCTTTCTCTCCCTCCTCTCTCTCCCCGTTCCCGGTAGGAAAAAAGAGAAAAAAAAAAAAAAAAAAAAAGCTGGGTTGGATTCCCATCACCGCCGCCACTTGGAGTAGTTTGAGCTGAATTCCTTGGAAATATGGAAAAAAAAAAAGAAAAATTAAAAATAAAATAAAAAAAAACCAAGCAACGGCAACAAAAGCAACTGGGGAGGAAGATTTGGGCCGGACGCCAGTGGAGTTTACAGTTTGTAAAAAGCCAAAATTCAGCTCTGGATCTCCCCAGCCTCCTCCCGCTCCCACTGACTGTTCAATGGAATTTTGGATTTTTATTTTCCTCTTTTTCTTTCATTTTGTATTTTTTTTCTTTTTCTTTTTCATTTTGTATTTTTTTTAACTTTGGTGGGGTTTTTTTCTT